GACTATGCAGCCAAAGATCCAAAGCAGCAAGGCCAAACATGAACCCCCCCCCGCCCCCGAAAAGACCTTATTAAGACTTTATTAAGGTGTCCTCAGGTATTTTGTCAGTGACAAAAAACTAACTTTAAGAAATAGTACATACATACTCAACCTGCTTGCTCTTAATGATGCACTGCTTTTTCTCTTAAAATCAGCTTTATGGTCAAAGGAAATTCAAAAATATTATATAACTAATTTTTTTGTCTTTCCGTAATATAATTATTTGTAATATCACACAGGGCAGGTTTATTGCATTTTCCATCTCAATTTCCTAAACTAGTTTCATATTGTACCAGTACTCCATTATGCGTCTTACTTTCCACATCAGCTTGTGGTAAAACTAACTCATGGGATGGCATGTTGATTATTAGAACAGTGCTCACAAAATTAATGCATATGCTTTTGAAATGCTTAATATCTGTGCTGTCCAATGTGGTCAAGCTCAACTATAGAACATAATTCTTGGCCAGGTGCTGGTGGCTCAACGCCTATAATCCCAGCTACTCAAGAAGCTGAGATATGGGGCTGGGAAGGTGATTCAGTGGTAGAGCGCTTGCCTTGCATGCCTGAGGCCCTGGGTTCGATTCCTCAGCACCACATAAGCAAAAAAGAAAAAAGCCGGAAGTGGCGCTGTGGCTCAAGTGGTAGAGCGCTAGCCTTGAGCTGAAGAGCTGAGGGACAGCGCCCAGGCCCAGAGTTCTGGCCCCACAACCAGACCTCCAAAAAAAAAAAAAAAAGAAAAAAAAAGAAGCTGAGATCTGAGGATAGCAGTTCAAAGCCAGCCCTGGCAGGAAAGTCCATGAAACTCCTATCTCCAGTTAACAACTAAAAAACCTGAAATGGAGCTGTGGCTCAAGTGGTAAAGCATTGGCCTTACGCAAGCAGCTCAGGGAAAGAACCCAGGCCCTGAGTTCAACTCCATGACTGACAAAAAAATCCCAACATAATTCTTAAGAGACACCATAAGGAAAATATATTGATATTTATTCTACTTTAAAACAATCTTAAATCTACTTTAGAAATCTTTCAGCAAAACGAAGATGCTTTTTCATGTGAATAAATACATAGTACAGACACGTATTCATTAGGTATTAATGTTGAGTGTAGTTGCCTATCAAATTAGATAAGTGGTCTGATTAATATCAACACTTAAGAAAAATTCAACTAATACCAATTAAACTAATTACAAAATATCTTCCCAGGAAGTTAAAGACCCTCATGATTTAGTTATACAGTCAGTCCTTAAATGTAAAGTACTTGAGTTAGAAGAGCCCTAAGACATAAACAGACTAAAGTATTAGCAGTCTTCTCTTCCTCTGTCACTGCTCCTATTTCAGGAGATTGTGACAGAGAGCTGTGTTACTACTGCTGCCAGCACTGCATGGGAACAGGAAGGAAAGGATCAGTTTCCAGTCTGAAGTTTCAACTTGGAATGCATTTTCCAATAGAGTGAAATAAAGTACCATAGGAGCTATAATACAGATCAAATATACTGTTGATGTTTTTGTTTTTTTTTAACTGGTATAAGAATGTCACCATAAGATCAAGCATAGCAGTACGCCCCTATATCTGAGCACTTGGGAGACTGAGGCAGGTGAGGAAATGCCTCTATGGAAATCCGTATGGAGGTTTCTCAAGAAATTATCAACAGAAGTGCCATTTGATCCTGCTATGCCACTCCTAGACAGGTATCTGAAGGAGTTTAAGCATATAATAGAGATACCTGCATACTTATGTTTATAGCAGCACTATTCACAATACCCACACTGCAGAATCAGCCTTGCTATCCCTCAATCAATGAAAGGATGGAAGAAAATATGGAGATATATATCCATATAGATGTATAATGTGCACGTATATAATACAGATTATATACACCACATATATATACATGCATATACAATGGAATATTATTGAGCCATAAATGAAATGTTATTTTCAGAAAAAAAGATGGAAATGGAAATCATCATGTTGAGTGAAATAAGCTGGACTGAGGAAGACACATATCACATCTCTCTCATATTCAGAATCGAGACCAAAACAAAAAAAAAAAAAAAAAAGGTCAAGTGCCAGTGATTCAACTTGTAAGACTGGGAGACCCCAGTCTCTTAACCAACAAAAAGCCAGAAGTGGAGCTGTGATACAAGTATAAAATAAGAACTATTTGAGGGAGGGAACCAGTGGGAAGAAAGAGGAGAAGGGGAGGGTGGAAGGAGTGAATATGATTGAAATATTTCATAACCAACCATTAAAATAAAAAATTTCAAATCTATAGAAAAGAATTTCACCATCACAATTTATTTGAGGAATCTTGTATCTTTAAACACTTCAAACAGATTTAGAGTTTGAAGGGCAGAGTCTTCTGCCTCCTAAAGGAAAAGCATACAACTTTAGCAGTATAGAATTCTGAAGTGGAAATTTATTGAGACCTTCAACACCTCTTCATAAAGTATAACTTCAAAAACTGTTTAGCTGTGAATGAAAAGTAACCCTATTGTGGGAGTGTGGTATTTCCTATGCAACTTGTAGAAAGGAATGCATAAGGATTTTCTGCAAGAACTGACATAGACAGTTGAGTAGGGTTGAGAAGATTTGGGAGCACTGGGTTGTGTTGATAATATAGCTACTATTAGTAGAAATATAGACAAAAATACCATTGTGATAATAGTCTGGACATTGTTTGATTTTTATCTACCTAATCATAATGGTCAGTTGCTCACAGGAGAGTAAAAAGCTCCAAGGTCATAAAAAAAAAAATATATCCTGAGGGCTTGAGGTGTAGCTCAGTAGTAGAGTATTTGTCTAATAATGGCAAGGCCCTGGGTTTGATTCCTAGCACTGTCAAAATACACACACACACACACACACACACACACACACACACACACACACACACACAAATATGTCCATAACTGGTAACTTTTTTTGGTCGGTCATGGGGCTCAAGGCTAACACTCTACCACTTGAGCCACAGCATCACTTTCAGTTTTTTGTGAGTGGTTTACTGGAGATAAGAGTCTCACAGACTTTCCTGCCCAGGCTGGCTTTGAAGCACGATCCTCAGATCTCAGCCTCCTGAGTTGCTAGGATTATAGGCATGAGCCACTGGCGCTTGGCTAGGGATAGAATTCTTTTGAAGGAAAAAAAATGATTAAAAAAAATTATCAGTTATGGAGCTGGGTGCTGGTGGCTCACACCTGTAATCCTAGCTACTCAGGTGGCTGAGATCTGAGGATCGTCGTTCAAAACCAGCCCGGGCAGGAAAGGCTGTGAGACTCTTAATCTCCAATAAAACTGTGGCTCAAGTGGTATAGTGCTCGCCTTGAGCTGAAGAGCTGAGGGACAGCATCCAGGCCCAGAGTTCAAGCCCCATGACCTGCAAAAAAAAAAAAAAAAGGAATTCTATTCCTTTCTCTTGACTGCACACTACAGTTTAATAACTTGCTTCTAGCCAGTAAAGTGGCAGTACCGGTAAGTGGCTTTGGAGACTTCAAACATAAAAATATCCCATAGTTTCTATCTTGGTCACTGTCTCTTGGATTCCTTGCTCTTAGGCAAGCCAGCTGTCAAGTCCTAAAATGAGGACCAAATGACAAGGAAATAAAGCCTCCAGTCAACAGCTGCGGGAGTGAGACTTTGGTGAAACCACACCTTCTTGGAAACCTAGCCTCCAGTCCCAGTGTCCCTACTAGATAGCTACAGTCCCAGCTGACATCCTGATGTAGAACCTCAGAAGAAACCCTAAACCACAGCCACCCTGCTAAGCTGATTCCTGCTTTTGACCCAAGGAAATGGAAAATTTACATTTACATACAATTGTGTATTGCAAAATCTCATTAACCCTCAATTCTAGAAGAGCTTGTTCTTCTGGATATATTTCATATGAGAACGTTCTATTGCTTCCTTCCCCTTCCCCTTCTTTTTCTTTTTTGAGGTATGATGGTTTGAACTCAGGGCCTTGCAGTTACTTTTTAGGCTCTGTACTTTAACCCAGGCTCTCATCCCTTTTCACTTTTTAGGTTATTTTCAGATAAGGTCTAGCATTTTTCCCCAGGCTGACCTCAGCTGGCAACGGCTCCTACCTATGCCTCCCATGTATCTGAGATTATAGGCATGCACCATGACAGCCAGACTGGGTATTTTTGAAATGGAATCCTACTTTTTGCCTGAATTGGTCTCAAACTTCAAGCCTGATCTCTGCTTCCTGAGTAGGTGAGAACGTAAGTATGAGCCACCAAATCAGTTAACAAATAATGGTAACTGAAGTTCTGGATACCCACTGAAGCAACTATTTCTTAAAGAACACCCATATATTTAGCCAAAATCCTAGGTATATTTATTTCCTACATCCATGCTAAATTTAAGAAGGAACTCCTCTCTTCCCACCATCCCCCCCTAGAAAAAAAGAAAGAAAGAAAGAAACCAGTTCACTTCTATTCCTGTTGCCATTTTTTTCTCTTTTCTGTACCTGAATTCAGATTTCAAGGCTTAGAGAGCATTGTTTGCTGTTCTGCCTTCCTGTTTTTGTTTGAAATGTTCCTCAAAGGCCAAGAGGCTTGAAAGCTTACAGCCAAGTACAGTACAGCGTCAGGTCCTGACACTTAACTACACAATGTTTACATTAACTTGATCAAACTTCATATTTCCAAATATGGTTTGAAACATTCCTCTGAAAATTACTCTGGAAAAAGGAAAATAAAAGTTTCTTTTTCCTCAATGGCACAGAGAAATCCGTTTTGATATTCTGTATCTCTTACTACATCAACATACTTTAAAAAACTTGGTTAAGGGTCAATATTTATTCCAATTCTGCTTCAGCCTATTGCATTGAAAAGTTAGGGCTTTTCCATGATAAATTTGTAATCTAAAATATCTGCCTCTATTGACAGTTTTTTTAAGTTCCTAGTTAGAACTGCTGCTAATACCTAATCAGTAAATTCATCTGAAATTCCCATCCATAGGCTGACATCACCCAATCTGCCTTGTGTCAGAGGAACTGACACAGACACTAAAGTTCACACATGTAAGACACTAAATTTGTGATATGTTAGAAATGAGATATCTAAGATCATCAGAAACTTGAGAAAGTAAAAGTTAAGTATATCTTACTTGATCATATCTATTTTTTAGGTGTTTTTCCCTCTAATTCTCAGCTGTATCAATAAGATGAGGAATTATAAGTAGGTAGCTGGAGTGACCTAAAGCATAGGAGAGAGATGGTAAAGGACAAATAGTTTTCTCTTCCCATTTGCCATTGTTTTTTTCCATATCTCATCTGACACATAAAAGCTGGGTTAGTCTCTAATCCCACCTTGAAAGCCCCTAATGTTGCTTGTTCTTAGAAACTAAGTCAGATTACACTTGATTAGTCCTTAAATGTTAAAGCAGGAGGCAGAACTAATCATCTTTATGCAGAATTTTAAAAATGAGGTATTATTGGCCACATATCTGAAAAAGCCGAAATCTAGCTGGTCACCAGTAACTTATTCCTATAACCTTAGCTACTCAGATGTCTGAGAGCTTTGGATTAAGGTTCAAAGTTAGCCTGGGCAGAAAAGTCTGTGAAACTCTTATCTACAATTAACCACCAAAAAGCTGGAAGTGGAGCTGTGGCTCAAGTGGTAGAGCACTAGCATAGACGCTCAGGGACAGCACTGAGGCCCTAGTTGAAGCACCAGGATGGACACACACACACACACACACACACACACACACACACACACACACACACACAGCTGAAGTCTTTGACCTTTTCATCATTGCTATTCTAAATATTTGTTGAGTACCATCTATGTAATAGATGCTGAGGAATCTAAAAATAAATAGTGGTAAATAAAACAGATTAAATCCTTGAATTTATGGAGCTAATTTGAAAAGATAGATAATAATATATATCTCTCAGATAGTAAAGGAAAATGAAAAATAAAATTGTTCAGCAGCCATAAGTGGGTGATTGAAGTTAGAGTGTGGGAGATGTTGGTATTTATCCAGCATGAACAGGCCTCACTGGCAACAGTTGAAATGAAACTTAAAGAAAATGAAGAACTATCCCTGGGAATATTGGATATTTCCAAAAGCAAATATAAAGACTTTGAAATAGGAACTATTAGAACCTGTTATGAACAACAAACACTATAAACAAAACAGAAAGTTGGAAATTCAGTAAGGAAAGATATATGTAATTTTTTGGGGGGGAGGGGTCTGGTCATGGGGCCTGAACTCTGGGCCTGGGCCCTGTCCCTCAGCTCTTCAGCTCAAGGCTAGCACTCTACCCCTTGAGCCACAGTGCCACTTCCAGCTTTTTTTTTTTCTGCTTACGTGGTGCTGAGGAATCGAACCCAGGGCCTCATGCATGCAAGGCAAGCACTCTACCACTGAGCCACCTTCCCAGTCCTGATGTATGTAATTTTACAATCCTTATCAAGAAAAAATGTGATTTGATCTTTTTTGATGTCCAGTTTTAATCTTAGTTTTATTCAAAAACTTTTCAAGTTCCAAATTTATCTGCTTCCTCTCTCCAGATTTAAACATTTCTCATGGAATATGTTTTGTTTACCTAAAGATGATTCATACAATCAAAAGTGTTTAGTCCAAAGTCCAATGAGGTAGTACATAACTTGTAATCCCCACATGAAGGAGGCTGAGGCAGGAGGATTTGAGTTTTGAGGGACAGCCTAGGATACATAGTAAGACTGTCTCAAAAAACAAGATATTAGGCTATTAATTTGGTTATGAAAACTATTCTTTTAATAGCACAAAGAGGAGTCACAATAGCTTTAGTTAAGAGGGAAAGGTAGAATTTTTTTACTTCCTTTTCTTATTGTGAAAATACTATACAGTGGGGTTACAATTACATGAGCAAGATAATGAGTACATTTCTTATCCAGCATTGTAGCTTCCTCCTAATAGTGATCATCACTTTATTAGAGTGGGATCCTACAACAAGGGATTTTTAGGCACTTGGGGAAGCAAGTAGACATCTGGGGGGGGAGGGGTGTGTCACCTGGGTGGAGATAACAATTTCTTTGAACAGATAGTGGTCATAACTGGAGGTCCTTTTGTTTTGTCGCACCCACCTCACCTCCACCCCCTCTTTTTATTGTTGTAATTGGGGAGAAGCATCTGGCATCTGATGGGCAGAAGCTGAGTACATTGACAAAAGTCCTACAGTGGACAGAACAGTTCCCAGAACAAGAAATTCTCAGCCTGATTGACAGTAGTCCCGAGGCTGAGGAATTGAGCTACAAGGAGAAACTTTTTATTGAGGAGCTGGAGGAAGCGTCTTTACTTATCACTTTGAAGAACTTTGAAAAGAAAATAAGTTACACACTAACCTTTACTTGCTTTTGGTGTATGGCTAATAAGTTTCTAGGAATTCTGGAGACTACTTGCAGCGCACACATTTTCAAGACATCTTTGTGGAGGAATGTGGGCCAAGGCAGTTCAGTTAAAGTAGCTTTGGAACTGGTACTCAGTGTTCACTGAGGAATGTTTGATAGCAGGAGGATTAAAGGCCTGAGTTGGCAGGCAGCTGAGTCATGTCCTGGATTCTTCTATTTAAACACAAACAACCTGAATAAAGACGGAGAGAATGCTGCTCAGATTTTGAGGTGATAACCCAGGAAGAGGAGGTTATCGCCTAAAATCTTGACCATCTGGGATGATGGTTTGCTTAGTTCAGAGCACCCCAGTTCCATGGAACGCGGGGATGTCCAAAAGGAGAGTAAGAAAAAGAATGTGTTTTGTTTTCTTTAAAGAAAAGGGAGGAAGGGACCGACCTAGGGGATAAGGAAAATGATGAATTGAAAACAAAAATGGAAACAAAAACCCATCACCACAGAGGAAGTGAACTAGGAAAGAGGGGATGGCCTGGCCTGTGAGAAGGCGCCGGGGAGAAGGCTGTCCGCGCATTGTACCCCTCCGTGGGGAAATGCAAGCGCTGGATTCCAGCCCAGGTGAAAGGGGTTGATTAACAACTGCTCGAAGGCAGGGTGTCCCCGCAGGGTAAGGTCGCGCTAGGCTTTTTGTGAGACGTGTACAGGGAAACGTGTTGACAGTTTCTCTGCTGGGAACGCGTTTCAACCGCGCGGGCGGGCGGGCGGCCGGGCCAGCGCCTCCCGGAATCCGTCCCGCCTCCAGCCTCGCGCGGGCCCGCGCAACTTTGACTCCACACCGGAGGGTGAGAGGACACCAGCTGCGGCCCCGCGCGGCCCGCCTTTCTGGTTGGTGTTGTGTTGGCTTTTTCGTTTCTCCGAGCTGGGTTCCGGCAGGGCGTCGTCTGTGGAGTCAGGGAATTCTGTAAACACAGAACACTCCACGCGTGTGCGTCACGGTGGCTGGGAAAAGCCAGGCGTCAAACTGTGCGACGGTGCCTGACTAGACGCGCCTCAAAGAGAAAAGACATTCCCTCAGGAGGTGACCGTCACCCCGAGGAAGATGGGGACTCCGAGGAAGCGGCCTCCCTCGCCAGACTCCGCCCCTGGGAAACGTCGCGCCCCCACACACGACGCTAGCGGCGCGGACTCGCGCTCCCAAGCCGCTCCTCAATTTCTGAGCGCGTCAGGTTCGCCTTTTATACTCGGAGGCGCGTGAACGCGCGCGCTCGACTACTCGGAGGTACGGAGATGACCAATGAGCGGGCTCCTTCTCCACGCGGGCTTGCGATTGGGCGGACCGCGCCAGGCTCTTTAGCCCAGCGGTGGGCGGAGCGTGCCGAGCAGGCGGGGAGAGGGACGGGGGAGGACTGGTAGGCGCGCTCTCTGCGCCAGAATCCCGGGGGCGCGTGCGCGGTCTCGCGGCGGCCGCGGGGGCTGTTCTAGCGCGGCCTCGAGGTGGAGTTGCTGGCGGCGACGGCGGCGACGGAGGAGTCTGGCGGTGGGGAGGGGGCGGGGACTAAAAGATTCTGAGGTGGGGAGTCGGGAGTTTTCTGGATTCTTTATCCGGTATTATTGAGGGCGGCCCGCGGCAGGGCTGTCGCTTCTGTGGTCTGGAGGAACGGCGGCCACCGCGCTGCGGAGGTAAGAGACGGGCCAGTGGCGGCTGGGCTGTGGAGATCTTCATCAACAGGTCGCTGGGAAGGCGGCGGTGGGAAGGGGGGGGGCGCGGCCCCTCCCCCCACCGCTACCCTTCTCCCCCGCCCCCCCACCTCCCGCGCACGCTCGGGCCCCGACCGGACCCCGGACTCTGCGGCGGGCTCGCCCCGGGCAGCGGGCTCCGCGGACCGGGTGTGAGTCCAACCTTTGTCCCTCGGAGGAACGCTGCCCGCGCCCGCTCGCCGCGCCTGGGCCGGGGACGCATCTCGGCGCGGTTTCCATCCGGACCCGCCGGAGTTGTCGGGGGCTCGGCGAGGGGCACTGCGGAGGGGCGGCGTCTGCGGGCTGCAGGGGGCGCCGGCGGGGCCGAGCTCGCGACGCCCGCGACTCCCTCCTGGCGGGACCGGGAAATCCGCGGAGGAAAATACTTTCCCTGAGAAGACGGAATGTAGTCAGCGTTCCTGTGTCTGAGTCAGGCGGCTGCGGGTACGCTCCTTAAACAGATAGACGGTTCCTGCTTCCTGGGGAACACTTCGGCGTTGCGGGGGGGGGGGGGGGGGGGTTAACGACGAGGCTGCTGTCGTTAGTGCTTTCTGATCATTTGCTTGGAGATTGAACTTTGAAGCCTGTAAATTGTTGGGAGCGACTCTTCAATGAAAGGCGCTTCCCCGGGATCTTTGTCGTAAATTATGTAACTTTATAGTGATAACTCACCTTCTGTTTTCGTTGATTGACACACGGCCATGTGGGTGGAATTTAGGTTTCCGTCGAAAAGGTTTTCCCAGGCGTATATACTACGGTTAAACTCTGATGGCAATTTTACACATTCGACTTTAGAATTTTAAGAATTTTATATTTGGAAAACCGAAATAAAATTTTTGAAGTTTTCGATCTGATAGACACGGTGAAAAGCGTTAATATTTGATTTTTTAAATGCTGTTTTAGCCATAATATTCTAATAATGCTTTTGAATTGTAACAGAAGTTAATAATCTATTAACTTGTGCAAGAGGAATAAATGATGTGTTGGGGTTATTAGTATCTTTGAAGTGTAAGTATTGGTGGTAATGAAAATTATTAAGTAAGCTTTCTTGAATATTATCTGATTTTTTAAAATAACATCCCTGTGGGCATATTACGAATGTAAGCGGTTTACTAAGGAAGCAGGGGAAATTATAACGTGATTCATTTTATCTTTCTTTAAAACAACTGGGTATCTTACCATGAAAGGCTTCCTTGATTGATTTTTGGCTTAGACTTGAACTTGACTAATAAAGTTGGACTCATAATATCAACTTGTTTTAAGATGTGAAAATAAAAGAGGTTAATAAAGTCATACTTACAGGTGACCTAAGTTGGTACAGTGATTTAGCTCTTAATACAATCTTGTGAATTATGATCTTGATTAAAAATATCATCAATCACAACCTACATCATTGAGGTTAACCCAGACTGGCTTCAAATTCTCTGTGTAGCACAGACTGGCCTAAACCCTCAGTCCTCCTTGCTCAGCCTCCAGAGTGCTAGGGGATCTCTAGAGTGCTAGGGTACCTCCAGAAGTGAGTGCCCCCTCCCATGGGTTCCTAAGCATATCTTACTACCAACAAATTACTTTCACAAAATCATATAAGAAACTGGCAGAGTTGATTTTTTTTAACCTTATTTATTGTTTTCATGTGGTTTTTGTTTTGTTTTTGCCAGTCATGGGGCCTGAACTCTGGGCCTGGGTGCTGTCCCTCAGCTCTTCAGCTCAAGGCTAGCGCTCTACCACTGGAGCCACAGCACCACTTCCAGCTTTTTCTGGTTATGTGGTGCTGAGGAATCGAACCCAGGGCCTCATGCATGCAAGGCAAGCACTCTACCACTGAGCCACCTTCCCAGCCCCTCATGTGGTTTTTTGTTTGTTTTTGTTTTTTGGTCGGTAGTGGGGCTTGAACCTGGACTTGGGTGCTGTCCCTGTGCTCTTCAGCTCAAAGCAAGCACTCTACCGCTTGAGCCATCAAGCACCACTTCGGGTTTTCTAGTGGTTTATTGTAAGTGGTTTATTGTAACTACCTGGCCTGGCTTTGAACCCTGATCCTCAGATCTCAGCCTTCTGAGTAGCTAGGATTATAGGCTCCCGGTCATGTGGATTTTTTGGTTAGTTTTCTTTTGTAGCCACAAATCACAATTATTTGTCCTCTTGACACGGATTTGAACTCAGGGCCTCTTGCTAAGTAGATTACCATTGAGCTACACCTCTGTCAATTTTTCAACATTTCAAACAGGTTTTCATGAATATCTTTCTGTGTGTCTCCTTGAACACGTGTGCTTTTCCAAACTGTATACCACCTGTAAGGGAATTGCTGATAGTAGGTTGGTAGACACTTTCAACTAAACTAGCTACAAGCAAATTACCTCTTCTAAAGGTGTAATGACTTTCATTCCTGCCAATACTGTATGAATACTAGTGATCGTTCATCCTTGTCCACAATTGGCATTGTCAGATTTTCTGCCAATCAGCATGAGCAATTATGTATCATTTCCTTTCTTTATTAAAGGAAGATTTTAATTTGTATACCACCCTAGTAGAGATACAAAACAATTTCATTATTTAAAATGCCTTTGTGCTGCCTTTTTTAAAATCAATCCATCCCCCCCTCCCAAATAAATCCATCCTGCAAACCAGTGATTCTCTAATTTGTATTTTCTCAAGTACTATGTAAATGGAATTATATAGTGCTTAGCTTTTTGTGTCTGGTTTTTTGTTGTTGTGGGTCATGGTGCTTGAAGTCTCGGCCTGGTTGCTGCCCCTCAGCTCCTCAGCTCAAGGCATGTGCTCTTACTACTTGAGCCACAGCACCACTTTTCGGTTTTCTGGTGGTTAATTGGAGGTTAGAGTCTCACAGACTTTTCTGCCCGGGCTGGCTTTGAACCACGATCCTCAGATCTCAGCTAGGATGACAGGCATGAGCCACCAGTGTCTGGCTGTTTTTCTTATTAGTCCTGTTGTAAAAAAAAAAAAAATCACACAGATACCACAGATATAATGCAGAATCTCCTTTTTGTCAGCACCAGCGTTGGCCTTTGTAGTCTTCCTGACTTCATTTTGTTCTTGCACTCTTTTCACTGTTTACTTGAAGTCTTTTTTTTCTTCTCACACAGGCCATGACATAATAGTCTATGAAAAATATAGAATGCTTCATGAATTTACCTATCATGCTTGTGCAAAATCCATGTTATTCTCTGTATCATTCAATTATAGTGTGTGTGCTCCTGATGCCAAGCACTGTCTGCTTTTTTTTTCATTTAGCATGATTTGAGAATTATAAGTATTGAGTTCCATCCAAGTTTCTTCTGTTTTATTGCTAAATGTAGTATTCTCGTGGATGGTTATACTACCCTTTGTTTATCTAGTTACCACTTGAGTTTTATACCGGTGTGTGTGTGTGTGTGTGTGTGTGAGAGAGAGAGAGAGAGAGAGAGAGATTATGAATAAAGCTGGGAATAGGCTTTTGTGTGAACATGTCTTCATTTCTCTTGTAAATGGGATTACTGGGTTATATGGACAAGCATATGATTAACTTTATTTTATTTATCGTTTAAATCTGTCTGTGTTAAGCAGAATAATGGCCCTTAAAGGTGTTCTGATGACTAGAACTGTGAGTACATTTGTTTAAGTGGAAAAACTGAATTAAAGTTGTTAATCAGCTGGCTTTAAAGTAGAGAACTTATTATAGATTATCTACGTAGCCCGCAGTATCACAAATCTTACAGCAGAGAAAGAATAGAGACAGAAAAAAAAAAGATGAAACTGTGGAAGCAAGTTGAAGGAGGACATGAGGCCCTAAATAAAGGAATGGGATAGTCTCTAGAAGATGGAAAATGGTAGGAAACAAATTAGTCTTTAGTGCCTGCGGAAAAGAAAGCAGCCCTGTCAACACCTGTATCTTAGCCAGGGGAGATCTGTGTCAGACTTCTACAGAATTGTGAACTAATAAATTTCCGTTGTTTTTAAGTCTGTAGTTATCTGTTATAGGATTATAGCAGACTAATTTGGTGTCCTTGTTTTCAGTGACTGAACCACTTTGCATTCCCATAGAAACATGAGTTCCAGTTGATTTACATCCTCATTAGTACCTAATACTGTCAGTCTTTTTAATTTTAGCCATTCTAATAGATGTGTAATACTATTTGTGTGTGTGTGTGTGTGTGTGTGTGTGTGTGTGTGTGTGTGAGTCGTGGACCTGGAACTTGGCCTAGATGCTGTCCCTGAGCTCTTCAGCTCAAGGCAAGAGCTCTACTACTTGAGCCACAGCACCACTTCTAGTTTTCTGGTGGTTAAATGGAGATAAGAGTCTCATGGACTTTCCTGTCCAGGCTGGTTTTGAACCGCGATCTTCAAATCTCAGCCTCCTGAGTAGCTAGGATTACAGGTGTGAGCCACCGGCACCTGGCTTCATTTTGGATTTTAATTGCAATTACCCTAGAAGTAATGGTATTTATGCCATTATGGCATTTATGCCATCATAATATCTTCTTTGGAAGTGTCCAGATCCTGTGCCTATTTTACTTACTTACTTAGTGTTTGTTTTGAGACAGAGACTCACTTGGTTGCCCAGTAGTTTGGCCTTAGGTTACTGGGTTTAATGATCCTCATGAGCTAGTCTTTTTTTTTTTTTTTTTTTGGGTCCGGTCGTGGGCCTGAACTCTGGGCCTGGGCGCTGTCCCTCAGCTCTTCAGCTCAAGGCTAGTGCTCTACCACTTGAGCCATAGTGCCACTTCCAGCTTTTTTCTTTTTTGCTTATGTGGTGCTGGGGAATCAAACCCAGGGCCTCATGCATGCAAGGCAAGTGCTCTACCACAGAGCCACCTTCCCAGCCCCTCATGAGCTAGTCTTGCAGTTGATTTGGGATTGACTCTTCTGATTCAGATTGTTCTGAGAGTTTTTTGTTGTTGTTGTTGTTGTTTCGGGTTTTTTTCAGTTCTGAAAATTAGACCCAGGACTTTGAACATGCTAGGGAGGCAACTCTACCACTGAGCTACATCCCCAGCCTAAGTTTTGAGAGTTCTTTCTAGTCCTTTTTCGGTTGCCAAGATTTTCTCCCAGTCTTTTTTTTTTTTTTGGGTCCGGTCATGGGCCTTAACTCTGGGCCTGGGCGCTGTCCCTCAGCTCTTCAGCTCAAGGCTAGTGCTCTACCACTTGGACCACAGTACTCCTTCCAGCTTTTTTCTTTTTGCTTATGTGGTGCTGAGGAATCGAAACCAGGGCCTCATGCATGCAAGGCAAGCGCTCTACTACTGAGCTACCTTCCCAGCCCCATTCTCCCAGTCTTTGACTTACCTCTTTACAGCAATGTCATTTGGACAAAAGTATTGAAGTTTTAAGTTTTGATGAAGCTAAATCACCCATTTTTTTAAATTTTGTGCATCAGATCCAGGATATATTTAAAAAAAAAGCTTACAAGGTCACTGACACTTTTTCAGTGACTTTTTAGAGCTTCTAAAAAATTTTAAAAATTTTACATTCAGCTCTATGTTTCATTTTGAATTTTATGTAAAGTAAGAAGTACAAGTAGAGTTGAGATTATTTGTATTATTCTGTGACCATTTGTTGACCATTATTTGATTTGCCCTTGTATTTTTGTCAAAAACACTGATTTTTTTTGTCAATAATACACAGTCCTGATTATTATAGTTTAAACTCATCTTGACATCAGGTAGTGTAAGTCTTTCAATTTTTTCCCCCAAAATTGTTATGATTATTTTAGTTCCTTTGTCTTTCCATATAGTATTTAGAATCAACTTGCTCATGGTTCATGAAAAATTGTATTTGAATTTTGGTGAGGATTATATTTAATCTGTAGATCAACCTGACATCTTAACAATACTGTATCTTTTAATCTGTAATACAATATTTCTTTTTATTTGTGTCTTTTTTTTTCTTTTGGTGGTGCTGGGGTTTGAACTCAGGACCTCATGTTCGTTCTGCTTTCTTGGCTGGCACTTTACTACTTGAGCTACATTTCCAGGCTGGATTTTGCAGGTTGTTTTTAGAAATGGAGTCTCATGGACCTTTCTGCCCAGATCTCTTTATCTCCAGAGTAGCTGGGATTATAGGTGGAACCACCAATCTTGGTCAGGGCTTTCTTTGCTTTCTTTTTTGATAGTACCTGGCTATGTTACCCATGTTGACCTTGAGTTGTTAGTCATATGCTCAAACAATCCTCCTGCCTCAGTCTCTCAAACTAGCTTTAAGTCCTTGGAATGGTCGTAGATCCCTTGAGATTTTTCTTAGTAGATAGTCATACATATGAATTGAGTAACCTTTTGGTCTGTATGCCTTATGTATTAATAATGAAACATTAAATGTAACATTTACAATTTAAAATGAAGAGAGAAGGCTTGAGGGTATAATCAGTGGTGGAGTGCTTGCCTAGCGAGCATTAGGTTCAATCCCCAACACTTCCAAAAAAAAAAAAAACAACAGCAAACTAAATATTACATTTTGGAAACTAAAGTTCTTTATAAAATCAGAGAGTCAAGATATTAATAGTTATCTACAATTTATGTAAGACTTAAATTTTTTGATCTATACTGGAGTTTGGAGATTGAAGGACTGGTATTAAAATTACTAAATGAAGAAAGAAAATGTTAAGTGTTTTGCTGTTATCAAACATTCCTCATAGTGTTTATCAAACATTACTCACACTTGTTGAGACAAATTGTTTAACTGGATTTTGGTAGTCAATTCTTTTGTTTGCCTTTTGTATTATACAAGCATTCATAGAAGCTCTGTCCTAATGATTCAGAAACCTTTCTTTCAAAGGATAGATGAAATAATACTCAGCAGTAAAACATACACAGACACACACAGACACACACACACATACACACACACACACAGAATATATTCATCCTACTTCATAAATTCTTACTCAGCTTTCAGATCTCAACTGACATTTTTTTTTTTTTAATTTTGTGCTGGTACTGGGGCTTGAACTCTGGACCAGAGCGCTGTACTTGAGCTTTTGTGTTCAAGCCTAGTGCTCTACCATTTTAGCCACAGCTCCATTTCCAGGGTTTTTTTTTTGGTTGTTAATTGGAAATAAAGACGTTTATGGACTTTCCTACTGAGGTTGACTTAGAATTACAATTCTCAGATTTTAGCTTCTTGAGTAGCTATGATTACAGATGTGAGCCACCAGCACCTAGTTTGTGCAAAATATATGGAAAGCAAATGTGTAATTGAAGAACTGAAAGAGGAAGATCAGTGTATATGCAGTATAGAAACATAACATTTGGGAAGTATCATGGAAATAATACTTGGTCAGTGTGTAAGGAAGAGATGTCCCTAAAGACCAAGTACAGAGTGAAGAGATGTACACTTAAGAAAGTAAACTATATTTACTTATTTATTTTTGTGCCCAGCCTTGGGCTTGGTCTCAGAACCTGGGCTCAGCCTTTTTGCTCAAGGCTAGTGTTCCGCCACTGAAGCTACTGCTCCACTTTTGGCTTCTTGGTGATTAATTGGAGATAAGAGTCTCATGTACTTTTCTAAAAGTCACTTTGAACCCCAGTCCTCAGATCTCAGCTTCCTGAGTAGCTAGGATTACTAGTATGCGCCACTGGTACATGGATAACTTTATTTTTTATTTATATTTATTGATTTCTTTATTTTTAAGATAGGATCTTGTTATGTAACCCAGGCTGGCTTGGAGCTCACAATCTTACTCAGTGTCCTCAATGCTGAGATTACAGGGTCTGCTCTACCATGTGTGGTTCATGAGTTGTATTTTTAATAAAGACAAAATTAGGGCTGGGAAGTTGGCTCAGTGGTAGAGCGCTTGCCTTGCATGCCTGAGGCCCTGAGTTCGATTCCTCAGCACCACATGAGCAAAAAGAAAAAAGCCGGAAGTGGCGCTGTGGCTCTAGTGGTAGAGTGCTAGCCTTGAGCTGAAGAGCTGAGGATCAGCGCCCAGGCCCAGAGTTCAGGCCCCACGACCGGACCCAAAAAAAAAAAAATAAAGACAAAATTAGTTTGAAGTTTTTGACTTATGATGAAAACTTACGGAGGTTAAAGTAAAACAAAAAAGCTAAAGTCAAGTTCCTTTCACATCAGCAAATCAGCTGTAGACCCATGGTTGGTTGCTTGTTTGGCTTTGTCATTGATTTCCACTGACTGCATGAAATTAAAAAGGGTGAAATAAAGCTAATAGGAAATGGCCAGGCTCATTTTATTATTAAATTTATGGAAAATATGTGTACATGGTAAAAATATGCATTCTCA